GAAAACGTCCTAAAATCAGAAAACTACATGGTTTGACTAGCAAATGTGGAAGGCAAAGGTTTCTGTTTCTGACTTTTTTCCTCATTTCAGCCTGTCAAATTCATTCACTCAATTTAATCCAAATTTGCAAAGCTTTTGGTATCTCTGAAAGAGGTTTTTAAGCAGTTTATTTTTATTTTTGCAAAGGGGAAAAAGATCTCAACAACAAAACTTCAGTTGTAATTTCACCTGTGTGCTCATGATTTTCTCTAAATCCCTAAAGAGAATGAAAATCTACTTCATGTACTTCATAGTTCTTATAACCTGAAGATCGATTCAGTAAAGCTTATGATAGTTCCATCACTGACTTTCAGAGAGACTATTTTCACTCTACAGAGTTTAGTGTTAAAAGCTAATGAGAATTTCACTTAATAGTAAGTGATTTGTTTCTGTCAGTACTAAAAGGGCAGTCTTAAGGTTAATATAGCTGCACACCTTGTATAACTAAATAAAGGCGCTGCCTGTTAGCTTGTATCTGAGTATATTGTCACAAATGTTAAGCCAAGGTCAAAACCTTAGTTTCAAGATTTAACATGCTTCCATTTGCCTTGTTCAAACACTATATATAGGTGTATATCCTGCAAGTGGTGGTATGAGGCTCATCCAAGGGTCGGTCCTGATAAGTGAGTTAGGACTCAGGTCCACAAGAAGGTAACCCTTGCTCCAACTGGCACAGGAGGATTGAGCAAAAATCTGGAGTCCTGGCAAAGTTTTCCTAGTTTGCTTCATGTCTGTTCCTGATATCAGGTGGCCAGGGCACCACTGATCAACCATTCCCAGTTGGAAATAGGAAAAAAGAAATAACAAAGAAATAACATGATGGGCAGGGCAGGCTCTGGGGACTGGCAGGCTTTCTGGGTGGCTCTGGTGTGAACTTAAACCCATTGCAAACACAACCACGCCGAGCTGTGACACAGTGTGGGCTGTGGGGGCGTATCTTAAAGGTAATATTTTAAATTCCTGAGGATATAATTAATCTGTAGGTACTGCCACATCACATATGTTAAGTTTTTTGCTTAATTTTAGAAATGTTAGTGCACACAGATGGACAGCCTGAAAAATATATTGACAATAAAGCACATGACATACAGTGGTAAACAGAGGTAATCTCTTAACAAGGCTTAGGTTTTGTAGCAATATGTAAAAGATATGAGAAGCAAAAAATGCACTGTGTAGGAATAGTTATGTTCCCTTAGAAGAGGGTGTATCTGTGTGTGCAGCAGCCAGATAGCTATCCTGCAAAACACTCTGCAAAGGGCAGTGCTGGTATCTAACTGCCAGATCAGCAGCTCTGCTTCCTCCTAAGGGTGCATCATCCTGTAGTCTACCACCCGCCAAGGGCTTACTTTTTTTGGGGGGGTTTTTTGTTGGTTATTTGGGTTTTTCTTTTGAGAGGAGGATTTTGTTGACGTCTTATTCAACAAGTAAGTCAAGATCATCTGGCATTAACACTTGGAAGAATATTTGAAAAATATCACCTCAAAAATTCAGTCCTCCTGACACTGAAGCTGTGGGGCACATGTACACTGGGTATAAATAAACCAGGACAGTTGATAGCCTGGTGATGAGGCATTCAATGGGAGGCAGAAGACTTAAGCTGAAGCCCTTCTTCCATTAACCTGATGCCACCAGTCTGTCTTCTAGGGCTGTGTGAAAATTGCCTGAGTATGAAATATTAATTGGGAAATACTCACACTGTACATGGAGATTCAAACTATGAAGTTATTTTAGGGACCTCTCTCATTCATTTTGAATCAAAATTTTATTCTGGCCTTGAGAAACCAGTTCTTTCTTAACATTTTATCAAAAGTGAGCCATTCCTCTGAAAGTTTCCATTTCTATAAATTTACATTTTTTCCAGTGTGGAATGAACTTCCATTTTGCACTGTTTTGTAGAATTATGCAGATCTTTTCCATAGAGAGGTCTTTGTCAGCTAGAGTCCCAGTCTAGTGTTGAGGGACATGACACATTCTTGTTGATATAGTATTTGCACTCAGAAAGTTTTGGTCTACAAAGCATTTCTTTCATTTTCTGGCTGCTAAGGGACTGGGGCCAGTTCACTTCCCTTGTCCTGATATCCTGATTTCCATCTAAAAATGAGAATATTGGTACTGTTCTCATTCATACCATGCTTCAGTATCTACAGATGGAAATGCTACAGGTGCATTTTATCTATATGATTTATGCATATTCTAAGACAATATTTTGTATCAACAAGATTCAAAGATTGGGCTTTTCTAAACATTTAATTTTATTAGCACTCTTAAATAATTGAACTGTGTAGAAGAGGTACGTTATGTTATCTTCTTGTTGGAAACAAGAACGTGATCCATAGGACTGCATCCCCTATGGGTCCTTTGCTTTTTGCTTAAAAAATGGCATAGTTTATCCCCAAACCAGTCCTGCATTACTGAGTAGGCATCTGTTTTGAGACAACTCTGTTGACTGATGTGCCCTCTAGGTTCACAGAAGAGTGGTATGTCCGGTCCATGAATATGGTCAGATTACTCTGATTTCACTCATAGTTTTGTAGTCGTATCTGTTTGCTGCTGTGAAATGCAGCTTTGGCTGCTGCGAAGGTAGTGGGGAGCAGGGAGTGTCCTGTCAGTTTACATCAGCTGATGATTTTGCCTAATGATTTCCCTCTCCCTACTTTTGTCTCTTGGGGTGATATCTTATGGGTGATGTTGACTCCAGAGCAGTAGACCCGTGTTAATGTATAGGGCTTTATGCAGCCATTGGGCACTGAAGTATGCTATCACTGAATGCTCTTTGAATATATAGTGATGTTTAACCTATTTATCTCTCTCCCTGAAATTGTGAGCATGTCCATCTATCTCATAAAAATCCACAAATGTAGCTCTTTCATATCCTGACAAAAAGCTTTTTGATTAATCTATGTTAAAGTAATATAATTTAGTTTATTGTAAACGGGTAAAAAACATGGTGGTTTTTTGTATTTTTTTTTCTTCATGTTGACATCTAAATCGATGTTTTGTCTCTCATTATCATTTGTGTTTGTGTTTGTTCTCTCCAGACACAAGTACTGTAGTTTTTAGATATCGATTAATCTTTCTTACTCTCTCACAAAAAATCATGTTAATATGATATCCTGCAGCTCTCTGTTGTTTACATAGTATTAGCACAGGGAAATACTACTTTCAGTTTGATACATAAAGCCCTCCTTGTCTCTTGTGCCTTTTGTCTGTAGGCTATTATGCATGTGACCAAAACCATGCATGACTTGAGCAAATGTTTGAATAGGGTTCTTGTGCAGTAGGACTGTATAAGCCATTAGGCATACTCTCTTTAACTTGGTGATGAAAACATTGTGGTACATTTGGTGTCACAAAGTAGAGTAAAATTGCTTTTGTGGCAGCAGAATAAATAGCATTCTAATTTGGTTTTGTTATTGTGCACGTGTGTGTGCTGCATACTTCTGGCAAAATTGCCAAGAAGGGCCAAGCAGGAAAAATGTTAAGGTTATTGCAGTTGTGGTGTGAAAGCTGATCTGAAAAGAGAAAAAAAAATATTGCTTTTTTCATTCTGAAATTTGAAATCAATAGTAGTCTGTCATTTTTGTTATCTGAGCCTTGAAATCTATTAATTGACAGGTGAGGCTGTTGCTAACCATCTTTTATGTTTATAAAGCCTTTTGTAAGAGCATTGTTTTTCTTTCCTCTCTGTATGTGACAAATACTATGATAGGGACTTGAATTTTTGCTGTGGGAATGTGAAAAACATGGGAAGCTGTTCTCTGCCAAGCTATTTCCTTAAGGATCCGCTTTACATACTACCAAATCAATGACCTGTCAGGTGTAGTTATGTGCCATAGCAATGATATGAGGTCAGTCAGATGAAACTAAGGTATGTATTCCCAGCAGATCCCAGCTATCTATTTAACATTGTCAAACTAAATTTTCTTTGGTACAGAGCATCCTCTTTCAGTTTCATTTGTCTCTGGATTTGATTAACTCTGAATTTGCATCTTTTTTTTTTTTTGAATTCTAACAATGGAAGAAAATATTTATTTGCTTTGTCTTGAAATGCTATACTATATATTTGCTATTTTGTCTTTCAACACAAAGCCATGCTTGTTATATTTATTTGCAACTTTTCCTTGTCTAGACAGTGCGTATTTCATGTAATAAACCAAGTTTTTTCTTTGCTGTAGTGGCGAAGTGACTGTTAATTAATCTATCCTAAAGTGACATAAATTTAGTGTCTCTAAAGCACATAAGTATTTTCTTAGAATGCCATCTTACAGATATAACACATTTATTTTGCCTTGCAAGTCCGTATTTGTGAAGCAAGAGCAAAAAAAATGGGTCTGTAAATCAGTATTTTTACGTGGAGTCACTTCTCATTGTGTCCTGGAAAACCTGCATCTTATTACTGTTTCAAACCTTTTGACACCAGAGGAGGAACTCTTGTCTTAAAATGGATTCACAATTTTTTCTTTTTTTTTTTTTTTTCTAAACAAAATGAAAAAAAATAAGTTATGTTACCCTAATGACTGAGAACTGTTAAGCATTACAAATGGTACACTGTGTACTTCATCCACTATATCAGTGCTACAGCAATTTTAGTTACTGTATGTATGTTATTGAAAACAGAAGACATTAATGATAACATAGAAACTAAACAACTGGATTAAAAATACATTTCTTAAGTTACAAAAAAATGGAAGAGGAAAGTAGTTTTTTTTAGGAAAAAAAAAAGAGACAATGATGTAACAGGAAACTAAAGCCAGAACTTTTAAAAATATATGTTAAAAATATCTCATTCAGAAATACAGACATCCTGACTGAAAGCTGCTGCAAGATTCTGTATGAAAAATCTGTTTTGTTATCAAGATTCATCTTTAATTTGTTGTCTTGCTAAATATAGTCCAAGCACTATCATTTGAGCATAAGTTAGTGTAAGTCTGCATTGTGATTTCTTTTTTTCAGATATTTTGAAGTCATCTGTTGCTTTTCTGTGCTGCAAGACCAGTGCTGAATCATTTCAACAACTGTACTATATGTTTCAAAAATATGTAGAAAAATTACAATTCTTCAAACAGAAGAAGCAGAGTTCTGGTTCCATGATGGAGTGCTGGAAAAAGAAGACAAAGGTGGGATGTAAGACGATACCCTCATCCTTTCATGGAGGATAATTTGTAGCTAATTTATAAAGCTGATATACACAATTTAAGGAAACAAGTGTCCCACCCATTTTTCTTTGTGTGCTCAATAGAATTCACATCCTTCCATTTTTGTTTTTTGTTTCCTTGAATTGTGCCTTATAACTTACTGTCATTGCTCGTTAGCTGTTGATGTGTTAGGAGGGTTGTCCAGACAGTGACACTGCATGGAAATAGATGAGTAGTTCAGAAGAGAGATTCATAATTCACAGTGACCTTTAATGAAACGCAAAGCTAAAGAAAGCTGCTTTTAGCTTACCACATCTGAAACAAAGTGAGAACTATCATTATCTTTAGTCTTTGCTGTCATGATATTTAAAGATACTCTAATGCAGAGGAAATGTATCTTCACATGGAAGCCTACCTTTATCATTGCTTTGGTGAATGGGATGCTGCATTTGAACTCTCTTTTCCCTCTGACTGTCACATTTAGGACCTGGCTGGCCAGCTCGCAGCCAGGGCTGTTACATGGTTTGAGAGGCAATCCTGAGAGCCGCGGCGTGTTTGCACCTCACCCCTTTCTCCTGCAAGGGAAGAGTTACATGTAATTCTAAATGCAGCACAGTTTGCATTTTCCCTTCCTAATTCCTTCCTCTTTTCCCGACAGCAGCAAGGAAATACCAGATCCAGTCTCCTTTCTCCTTCCTACCATGCCAGAGCCGTGCCACAGTAGCAGTTTGGGTTGCTCCAAACCAGCTGGCAAAGAAAAGCATCCATATGACGGCCGTGCGGGATGGCAAGGGGGTGGTGGGGGCTGGCGAGGACCACACTCTCCGGGGTAGCTGCTTTTGGGCAAGCTGCAATCTGGCCCTCAGCGTGCACCTGCCCGCAGCGAGGGTCTGACAGCATCGCTGCCAGGGGGGAGCCCGCAGGAGGGCAGAAGGCACTGGGGGCCACGTCCTCAGCTGCTGCTCCTCTCCAGCGGGACAATGAAAGCCAGTCCTGCTTTCATCAGGTGAGGAACAGAGCCTGAAGGCTAACTCAGTGAATTTTTCCCTAATCCAGTTTATCAGAGGGTGAAATTAGCCTCTCCCCCTAGACAAACGTGCTGCCAAGGCTGAGCACTTGCTTCTCTGGAGCACAAGCCCCTCTGGACCTTTTCCCTCCACTCCCTGGGCTGCTCAGTGCGCTGCACCCTGCAGCTTTGTGCTCCTCAGCTGTGTTTTCCTCCTCCAAACCCCTGAAGAAAGGGGTCATGCTGTCTGCCAATCTCTCTCCAGAAGATGCTGCACACTGTCTCCCTGGGGCTGGGTTTTGTCCAGGTGCCATAGCCCAAACGACAGCTTGTAGGGCCACTGGGGTAAAATGCTGCCCATCCAGCCTATCGAGGGACCCTGTTTTACACATTTGGTCCTGCATGGGGTATAAATGCTCATCGAAATGACAAAAGAGGTGCTATCCTATTGCCTTACGCAGATGGGAAACCTACTTCATTGCCCATACTTCTTTTGAGCGATTCACCTAGTTCATCCGCATAAAAATGTATGTCCCATGAACCTTAGGTCTCCTGTGGGCAGCTCACTGGGGACACTTCACAAATCTGTCTGGTGGAGACTTACTGGATACATCTGGCTTGCTCCTGTTTCTAAAACTGAGCAAAGGTTTTCTTGATTTGTGACTGTTCCCTCTATTTGCATGGCACAGGGTTGGTTACCCAAGAAGCGATGCCTGCCGTGCTCTAAAATGGGGAAGATTATCTGTGTGCAGCTTGAAAATGAAGCTGTGTCACAGCACCTGTTCAATCCCATTACAAACAAAGCCAGGATGGCAGGGGTAGAGACAGAGCAGCGCGTACAAGATGCAGCTTTATTTTAAGTGACATTTAAAACCTACTACTAGAAATAAATGCTTTCTTCACAATGCTGTAACAAGGAAGGGAGAACACATTTTCTAAGCAAATTGCAGAAGTTCAGGAAATTCTTGGCTCACTATTTGTTCCAAGTGATACAAAAGAGAAGGAAGAGACTCTATCCAGCATAAATCATATTTTTAAGAATTTCCCAATATTGCTTCCTGTCTTTGTGCTTGGGCAGCAGATTGTATACAGAAATAAAACAAATTTGCTTTATCTTTTCAGAAGAAAGTGTCTGCTATATCATTTGCTGGCTCTCGTTCGTTCATTCATTCAAAAACAGAAGGAAAAGGGCTTTTGTGTTAAGAACAGTCAAGGTCAGGGATTTTTGGTTTTGATGTTGGCTGCCAGTAGCTTGACTTTTCTGACTACTATTTCCATGTCAGTCTCAGATAGCAAGCTAATTGCTGGCTTATAGGGGGATGTTTCACAGCTACAGGTTAGTTGCAGTGAGCACAGAACAGAAAGAGATTTCAGGACAAAATTAAGTCTTGTACTGTCTCAGCCCCTATTCATGCCAATCTCAAATTAGTTAATCAAGCTTACTGAAGGGCTGCCAGATTTGACCCTGATGCTGCAAATTCTTTTTCATGCACACTCAGCTTTGGAATCTCTATGAGTAAAAGCTTTGCCAGTGTGACTTGGTTTACAGAATCAGGGCCTTAACACCAGGATTCACCATACCAATATTTATTTTCATAGCAAGCAATCAAAAATATAAAACAATGTTGTAATTTTGTAAAAAAAAAAAAGAACCAATGTTCTGCAAGAGATCACCCGCATGTCTGGGGCATTTCTGAAGCCATACTACCTTGACATTGTCCAGTCAATTGCCCTGTCTCATTCACAGTCAAACTACTTTATTTTTAAAATCCCAAGTTAATGGCTAAATGAAAGTAAATTAAATCATTAGCCAAAATATATATGCCATAAAATGTCGGTATGGAATTATGAGCATTTCTTGTTGAACTTATTTTTCTGGGAACAGGGTATTTTGGTGAGAGGCAGGCACAGCAGAGGTAAGGATGTGTTGTAGTTTATTCCCTGGTCTGTAAAACCAAGCCACCGTGTACGACTGCACCTTAATCATACATCCACTGACAACTTCTGTGTAAGCCTCTCATTAGCAGTCTGTGGCACACAGAGAGATTTCTCTTTTTTTTCATCTTTTAATGTAATTCTCAAGATTTTATGAATGTATCAATTAGAGATTTCCGGTAATGGAAAGCAGGTTTCAAACTCTGGAGAAGTACAATAAATCACCAACCATATGGGCTTTTGTCATTAAAAGAAAGCCATAATAAGACAAAAGCTGAAGTAAGTTACAACAGCTGAACAGTGATCTGAGGCGGTCTTATGCAAAACCCACTACCTTGGCTTGTTCACAGGCAGCTTCTTTAGAAGACTGAAAAAAATGCTTTTTCAACTCTTTATTTCTTGGCTACTTCAGAAAGAAAGCAAAGAAAAAGCCATCTCAGTGCCTCTTTTCATGCTCTGCTTACTTTGTTTTCACATGAGATCCTGTGCGCTACCTTTGTTTTTTTCCCTTTGCTTTTTAGAGGGGTCCTTGTGCAAAACAATAGAGAGTCCCAAAAACAACAGGCAGTTGCTCCAAGGCCTAGTTGTTCAGCAGGATTCACTCCAAGAAACCGAGAGGGGTGTGTTGAGTCTTTTTTCCATCACCAGCCTTTACAGTTAGTGGGCCAGATGGCATGAGATGGGTGCAAAAAAATAATGACAATAAATAATACTGCGACTTGCAACGTGGACCGAGCTCAGTTACTTCCACTTCATCACACTGTTTGGAAGTGCCTTTGATGTATAAAAGCACCCCCTAAGATAATGAAATGCGGTGGCAGCTGGCTAATGGGTGGGAAAGTGCAAACCCTGCATTGAACTCTTCCCACCAGGCTATTCAGCACCAAGGCAATGTCAGTCTCAAGGAGACAAGGAGACGGGGAAGAAATGGAGGCTTGTTGCTGTGCAGCCTTTAGGCTTCTGGGCAGGCTGCTGTAGGTGGGGTATTATTTGCCTTGCTGAATAGAAGTGATGTGCCTGAGGCAAAGGGAAAGTTTTTACTGTCTTAACACATTAACCTTGCAGACTCTGTCCTAGAAATGTTAAATGAAGCCACAGGGTCACACTGCTTGAAGAGACACTGCTCTTGGGTAAACTTTAAAATGAGCTATATTTTTTTTTACTACAATCCTGTCAGTCATGCAATCAGGGTTAGTTTCCTTTTGGGGAGGACTATCTTGTGGCTCGGCTCCATGGGAAATAAAAAATAAACACATCCAGACTTTTCTTTCAGCTGTTCCAGGCCAAATGTGGGGCAGGGTAAATGATAAAGATCCAAAATAGACAGCGGACACAGACAAATATGAAAACCCTATTTGTTCAGGAACTTTGAAACAGTAGGGGATTTATTCCTTGAACACAAAGAAAAGCTTCTGGTCTCTTCGTTAAATGATCCTGTGTTAATAATATTGTACTGGGGTCTGACCCTGCAAATATTTGATTAGACGTGCACTTATCTTCATGCACGTTGTTAGTTCTGCTAACCCCAGTGCCATGGTTTGTCACCAGAAAGTTCAGAATATGCACAGACTTTGCAGGGTTCAGGCTTGCCACTGCCAAATGCGGCAACAGCCTGTCTCAGCAGAGAAGGTGCATTGCGAGATTTGAAATGACGTCTCATCATAAAAAAAGTGGTGAAAGTCAAATTTACCAGAATAAATATTTTGGGGAAATAGAGATCAGCTCTGTCTTTTATAATTTGCAGAAAGTGATTATTTTTTGATACTTAATTTCAGGAATATTAATGCACAATTATAAAATTCAGCTTGCCAACTGCCTAGAATCAAGAGCTGACTTATTCTGAAATATTACTGCCCTGGGTATTATGATCTTGCAGGCAAGGACAGGGTCACGTATGACCAAATGCTCATGTTGTGACACTTTTATGCCCAGAATGGAAGTCCATGATTGCCCGAGAGCTGTGGTAGCCTCCAAATCTCATCAATTCAGGAGGGGACAGAAGATTAAAAAGGGGGGACATTTTGTATACTTTGCCTCAAATTGGTACGCAGATCCATACTCAGGGCAGGGCTGCTGAATCTCAGTGTATATTTTCATTGACTGTACGCCAAAAGTGTATTGATTATTGTCACGAAGGCTAATGTGTACTGCAGCCTACAGTACAGCTCTAATATATTTCTTAAGAGTAAGCATAAGTCAACGTCACCAAAATTTTCAGTGCCAAGTGGGAATAGCTCTCTAATACTAAGATTATGGCAGCAAACTTCTGATCTGTTCTTTATGATCTCTTATCCTCACAATGTGTAGTTGCTTTTTAGGAAAGGTCTTTTAGTTTCACTAGGTTGACATTCACTAAGAAATCCCAGCCCAGGTGGATATATTGCCTCTGTCAGTCAGCCTTCGACCATTTCTCCCACAAAGCATGTTTTCTAAATCTGGTTTTGAGAGCTGTTTGCTTGACAGACTGCTTTGCAGACTTACAATTGTTTGTTTCTGACTCTTTTTGATTGCTCTGCTAATCTCTAGACTTTAGCCTTGAGGCTATTATTTATATTGCACTTTTATTGGTGTTTGTTATTTGAAACTTTGTTTTCAGTAGATTTGTGGCTCCTTTCTAAACTGCTTTTCTGATTAAATTTTGTTGAAGTGGTTGGGTGGATTGCTTTACCTTTTTTTTTCCCCTGTTTGTCCTCCTCCTAATCGTTCAGTTGAGAACTCACCTGCCTTTTGTTTGTGCCTGCCTTTGTGATTTGTTCTTAGATTAGAAGGGGCAGCTGCACAGCTTTTACTTTTATTAGTTCTTAGCAATGGGTCAGGTGAAATATTAACCACTCATGTACTACTTTCCCAAAACCTCAAGTGAATTACAATAGATCTCTTTCCTCCACAGTTCAGAAAAAAAGATTTTATTTCTAAGAATGATACCTCATGCAGGTTTGGGTTTTTTGTGTGTGTCTAGATGTGTCTGCTATAAGGATAGAATGATCTTGAGTATCAGAACATATAAAACTAGCCCAACCTTTCCAACAATTTGTCTAAACTTATTTTTGCAAGAGTTAGAGTGTGAAATTCAAATCCAAATTTAGGCCTCAGCCCTGCAATGCCAGGAGCTCAGTGGGATAAATGCATGCATCCAGTATTTCCCAAGCATACAGCTTTCCAAGGAATTGTGGTTCTTAGTTCTCTGATTCTTTTAGTTTTATCTACAACAAAATGTAGTTTTGTCCTTTTTACATCTGCTAATAAAATGGCTTCTGTTTAGATTTGGGTGATGTACAAAGTTTTACTTTTTCAGTTATTGAGCACTCCGCCTGTTTACATTTGCTGCTGATGGCTTGGTCAATGCCTTATCCTTAATGGAGAACCAGCTCTCCTACAATTTACTTACAGTAATCTCTGATGTGGGACTTCCTTCCTACTAATACTTTTCAAAAATATGTTTTGTTTTTCCTTTGGGATCAGGGGCAGGTAGGGAGGAGGGATAAGAGGTAGAATATGCCGTAGACTAAGCTAACCTCTCCAAAGACCGATTATTCATACCAAACTTCAGTTCTTTTACAAATTTTAGGTTACTAAGTTTCAATTTTGCAAACTTGAGGCTCCAAGACATTGGCTGAGCAAGAAGCTGAATGGCCACAGTGACAGCTAAAGTCATTGGTCTCTGCAAGCACTTCAGTTTTTCAGGAATTGGACAGGATGTTCAGAACAGGAGCTTCAGTGGGGAGAGAGTTAAGCACAGAACACTGCTGACAGTAAATGCTTAAGTGCCTAATATTTGGGATCCCAAATTAACTGATGAACAATTAATGGGCTATTTTGAAAATGTATTTCTCGGCAAAGAATGATAACAGTGTAATATGCTAACCAATGCTGAATTTGTCCATGCCCGAGTCTGTGTTTCTACATGATGGGTCCTGAGGCTGATAAAGTAGATAGATAAACTGGTTTTCTTATTAACCGTTGCTATTTCTTTGTATACTGTGCTGAATGAGTATGTACCACCTAGTGGGTTGCTGATTATTGAATTCTGGTTTTCTAATTATGACATGTTTTGTAACAGACGGTGTATGTCTGTGGTGATTGGGATGCGTCCATCTCCTGAGCGATCCCACTCCTGATATGCTAAACCAAGTCACAATTTCCCTTATTTCTTCACATTTCAGCTATCAGCAGTGGATTTGCTTTGTTC